GTAGAAATACTTAAAAACTAAAATTACTCAAGTAAAGGTAAAAAGTACAGCATAGTAAAAAGTACTCCTAAAAGTACATATTTTACAAAATATTTACTAAAGTAAATGTAATTGAGTAAATGTAAGTAGTACCCAACTATGAAAAGGAGCAGCAGATTTTCTTTCATAGAAAAACAGATAATAAATAGGAAATATGTGACTTAATGTTTGTTCCTCAGTGATGAAAAAGGGAGGTTAATGTTCTTCTTCTTTAGGGTTCTTATGAATATTGCAACATTTATGGTTCAAAACAGAAAGTGGATCGTTCTGTCCTTCAGTCGAGTTATAACGCTGTTTGATGTAGATAATATAACCCAGTAAAGAAAAGCTGTGAGGCGCTGATCACTGAAATCAGATAAAACTTTGAGCTCCTTCAGAATGTTTCATATTTCACAATAAAAAAAGCTGCAGCTCAGCGATCCGTTTTGAAACATTGTTGTGCAAAAGTGTTTCAGAAATGATGCAGCAACATGTTGAAACAAGAGCCGGTCTAAAAGTTTAATATTTCACTTCTGTACAAGATTCCAATAATTATGTGATTAATACTTTCTAAAAACCTGCGAACATGTAAAATAAGAAAGAAACAAAGAAATTTTTCCATAACTGGAGAATTAGTTTTAGTAACAGTTTGTTGAATTATTCCTGAAAAAATTTATTTTCATAAAAAAAAAAATATAGGCAAATTTTCTCTTCAGGATAAAGTTAAGATTTTATTAAATTTAATGTAAATAAATATTAATATATTATTGATCTTTCCATATAAAACTTAATAATATTTACTTTAAATATGAATCATAACCCAGAATTATTCATACTGCTGTTAGACTCAAGTATAAAATGAATGTTTAATTTTACCAACATTTTTCATCTGACTGGAAGTAATATTAACATTTGGAGGAACCCAAAATCTGAAGGGAACTAAAGATTAGGGTGATGGCAGGGAGTTCTTCCATCTGTAATAATTTGGAAATCATCTATCTTGATCAGATATCAGTGGAAACTTGCAAAACGTTGCTCAGAAATTGTGAAAATGGTTTGATCAAGAGATTAATATGTAAATATTTTTCAACATCCCAGTTTTATAATAAAATTTACCAGTTTTAAATTTTACAAAGCAAAATAAAAAAAACAGGTAGAATGTAAATAGTTTTTAAACTTTAAATCCAAACCTGCGATGTGTATTAATAATTTATAGATTAGTTGTTAGTTGTAATATTTTACTTTCATCCTGTAACTCACCTTTCTGGAAACCAAAGTTTTTCCTCTTGCAGAAAATCAGCATAGCTGCTGCTAACAAGACGATCAGGACGACCAGAACCAGACCCACATAAAGCAACGGATCTGCAGGGATGATTAAAGTTCATGAGTTTATTCTGAGTCAAAAAACTTCTAACATAAACGTTTTACAAGTTTCATGATTTTCAAAGTTTAAACATGTTTAATTTTGAATTCTGAGTACTTTCTTTTCTGTAGTGTTATTCTGTAAAAGCTCTGAGTTTCACTTATAAATAAAATTGAACTTCAACAAATCCAAATCAACTCAACATCTGATAAACATGAACAGATGATGAACCTGAAGCTGCAGCTTTATTTTCAGAGGATTTGATGGTTTCAGATGGAGAAGGAGAGAAACTCTGACTCTGAGTTGCTGTTGTTGTTGTTGTTGTTGTTGTTGTTCTTATTGTTGTTCTTATTGTTGTTGGTAGAAAAGTTGATCCTATAAAAGGTCTTGAAGTCCATTTTGGTTCTGAAGAATCTGAGGATGTGAGAATGAAACAATCATAACCACTGAGGTTAAAATTATATTCTTCCTGTTTTTATGAGTGATTTGTGTCATCATGAGTTTAAAGTTGATCTGTCGAAACCTAGAATAAAAATTTTAATTAAAAAAACTCACCTTCAGTCACAAAGAGATCAAAATGATCGTATAAAGTTCCATCAAAGGTTTCATCTAAGCGACACTGATACCGTCCTGAGTCTGTTTTTTTCAGATTTGTGATGCTCACATGCAGAAAATCAGATTTAAAAATACTTCTTTCCTCATATCTGATGCTGAATCTTCCTTTCTCATCTTTGTCTTTAGTTGTTTGAATGAGAATGTTTCTTCCTTCACAGGTTTCCTTGCAGACGAACCTTTTGGTTCCTGTGTAACGAAATTCACATCTAACTGTGATGCTTCCTCCTTCCTTTCCTCTGTAGGTTCCCACAGTTTCTCCATCCTGCAGAGCTGATGAGGAGAAAAACAGTCAGTAGTTACTGTAAGATTGAGCAGCTTGAGAAGAAAATATTTTCATAAATTTAACTGAACAGATGTAGATTATAATACAGTGACAATATAGTCATAAATTAACTTGGATGTGTTACAACTTTCAGCTTAAGCCAGTGTGCCAAACTAATGACAAAATTCTGTTAATAACTGGATTAACAACCATTTTGTTTTATTAAAAAAATCTCCATTTAAAAAGGCTATAAATTAAAGCTTGGTGAAAAATCAACCATGTTTCTCTGCTTTGTGTCTCCAAGGAAGATCTCAGTGTTGCTGCATTATGAGTTACTTCTGCTCTGATGTTCCTCTTCAGATATCTTAAAATGATGAAACCGTTTCCTCTGGTTTTTTTTTTGTTTTTTTTTTTTTTTTTGGAACAGATGCGTTGTAGAAAACCTACAGTTCTCCAAAGTAACAGACTCAAAACTCTGTGCTGGGTGAGTTTTATCATTTTGCCATTGACATATTAATTTCTGTGTTTCAGTTTTTGAGTGACAATATTCAGAGTTTATATTCTGTGCTTCAAATAATCAGGTACTTAACCAGAAAACAGAAAGTTGAAAAGAGGAAAAGTCAAAGTTTTTAAATCTGTTCAACAATTTAAAACTCTATGATAAACTGTGAGGAACTGAAAGGATGAAGGACTGAGAGCAGATAAACTGATATAAATAAAATAATGTACTCACTGAGGAAGAAGAGGCAGATCAGAGACAGACAGACCTTCATCCTGAGCTGCTGATGGTTTCTAACTCTGCTTCTCTTCCTGTTTCACTGATAAACCAGGAACTGACCTGCACGATGCAGTTCCTCCGCTGACCACCAGAGGGCACTATCCTCTTAGATTTACTGCTAATGAATATAACTTTAACACAAAATATTTGCTTATTTGTATATTTTTATTAGAAAAATGATTATAACACAATGATTAGATCATCTTTCAAACATATTTTGTAACATTCAATATAAAAAAAAAACATTTTTAGCCAAGTGCTAAAACTCCTTTATAATTTATAGAAAACTTTCCTGTATGTTCGACAATCGGTTATTTTGTTGTAAAAAATGAGACTATATGTTTTTCATCTGTACTTTAAGCTCTTATTGTTTCAGAGAGTTTAGTTCAGGAAAAAACAAATTATTTCATCAGGAGATTAACTTTTCTGTCAGTCCTCTGTGATTCTTCCCTCTCTGGGTTGATCTGCAGGAAGAAGAAGAGGAAGAGTAGTGTTTTATTAATTTATTTTTATGAAAAGAATTTAGAAACTAAAGAAACTCAGGTGTTTTATAAAGATTCAGACTCGCCTGAGAGATGTCATCATACTCAGTTTCCACAGCAGAATCTGAAAAACGTTCAGATCAGAGAGATGAAACTTCTGATTCACAGATAACTCATTCTGTGTTTCCTCACCTTTGCTTTTCATGGCTCTCCTCTTCCTGCAGAAAATCACCAAAGGTGTTGAGAACAAGATGATCTTGATGACCAGAGACAGAAACATATAAAGCAACAGACCTGCAGAGAAGATAACAAGAGAACAGCCTGGTTTGATCAGGACAAAATGAAAATGTGGCTTTTCTGAGATAAAAGAAGGTGACAGACATTTTACCTTTGGGTTCAGGTGAAGTTCTGGTCTGTTGGGTAGTTTCATATGAAGATGAAGAGGAGGAAGAACTCAACCTTTGTGTTAATGTTAGAGAAGATGATGTCACTAATGTTGATGGAAAAGTCTTCAGGGTCCAGTTGGGTCCTGAAGTGTTTGAAGCTGTGAGAAATTAAACATTCATGACACCAGTGAAGATGTTTGTCTTTGTGAGTCTCAGTTTGAACATGTTGGATGATTTAATCAGTTAAAAGATTTAAGATTTAAACTCAGTTTGATGTCGATTGGATCAGAAGAAGCTGTCAGTGAGCAGAGTTTACTTTCAGAGACATAAAGGAACATTTTCAGGAGAGAAACTCACCTTCGGTCACATCCAGGTCAAAATCATCATATCGAGTCCAGGATTTATCCAGACCACATCGGTACCGTCCTGAATCTGACCGTTTCAGCTCTGAGATGCTCACATACACAGCAATAGATTCAGAACGATGCTTTTCATACTCGATGCTGTATCTGCCACGCTGAGCTCTGTCTTCTGTTGTTTCTATCAGAATATTTTCTCCTTCACAGATTTCCTTACAGAAAAATTTTGTGCTTCCAGGGAATATAAATTTACATCCAAATGTGATGGTGGTTCCTTCTATTCCTCTAATGGTTCTCACAGAGTCTCCATCCTGCAGAGCTCCTGAGGAGATAAACAGTAATTACTGTGAGATTCATCAGCTTGAAGACAAAATATGTCTTATAAATTTAACTGAAGATGTGAAAATAAATTAACATTCTAATAATTCTAATAAATGGACAAAACATTTATTTAGCTCGACAACCTTCTGGTTTCTTTGTTCCAGCTGGTTAAATTTCCAACTGATAAGTAAATCAAAGTTTTTTGAAAAATGAAAAGATTAACAACATGTGGTCAGTATATAGTATTTTATCTTTGGTCTTTGTAGAACCCAGCTCTGTAAATTTTAACATTGACTCTATAATGGAGGTTTTGTGTTGCAGCACTTTGTGGTTTATCTTTATTCTCTTTTTTAGTTTCTTTTGAATAGAAGAAGAAAGGAGTCGCTTCCTCTGTTTCTTTGATCTATGAGCTGAAGAAAACTGTTAGTTCTCTAAACTCTGAGTGAAAGACAAAAGTGAACATTTTGTTTATATAAGCCTGAATTTCAACAACTTTATGACTGTTAGTTTTCTGCTTTGTGCCAAAATAATCTGACTGTAGATGCAGAAAAGGAACTGCTCATTTGTGCAACATAGACAGTGGCTAGTTTGACATGAGACATTTTACAAGCTGAGGATAAATTAACTATCTATAGGATGAAGCCGTTTATTTTTAAACTGATCATCAACATATTTTACGACAGAGACCAGCAGAACACAACAGATAAAACTAGACAAACAGTCGGTTTAAAACTTTTCAACAAGTTAAACTCTCTGATAAACTGTGAGAAACTGAAAGTTTCTCTGGAAGCAGAGAAACTGATATAAATAAAATAATGTACTCACTGAGGAAGAAGAGGCAGATCAGAGAGAGACAGACCTTCATCCTGAGCTGCTGATGGTTTCTAACTCTGCTTCTCTTCCTGCTTCACTGATAAACCAGGAACTTCTCCTCAGAATGCAGTTCCTCCTCTGAACACCAGAGGGCATTACTACTTTTACTGCAGAGTTAAAGTTTCTGTAGGAGATTATTGCTGATCAGACCAAACAGTTGTAATTAATAGAGTTTCTGATTATTTTGATAATTTTAAATAATGTTTTATAACATGATAATTATATTTAGGTATATGTCTTAGAAATGTTCAATCTATTTTTGTATTCTAAGTTATGAAAATCATAATTTTTATGTTTGTAGGTTTCATTGTTTTATCCAAATCTAAATTATTCCAACTTGGATTTGATACTTTTGTCGTATTTAAGGTCCCATCCTCATATTTTTTAGCCAAGTGGCAAAACTCCTTTATAATATATAGAAAACATTCCTGTATTTTTGACATTCAGTCATTTTCTTGTGAAAATATGAGACTAGATGTTTTTTTAGATTAATTTAGGAATAAACAGAAATTATTTCATCGGCAGATGAATTGCTCTGTCTGCCCTCTGGGATTTCTTCTCTCTCTGGGTTGATCTGCAGGGAGAAGAAGAAGTGTTTTATTAATTTATTTTTATTAAAGGAGGTTAGAAAATCTAATCAAACTCAGGTGTTTTATAGATATTCAAACTGACCTGAGAGACATCAGCGTTCTCAGTCTCCCCAGCAGAATCTGAAAAAAACATTCAGATCAGAAAGATGAAACATCTGATTTATAGACACAACTCATTGTTTGTTTTCTCACCGTTGCTTTTTATGGCTCTCATCTTCCAGCAGAAAATCACCAAAGGTGTTGATAACAAGATGATCTTGGCGACCAGAGACAGAATCACATAAAGCTGCAGACCTGCAGAGGAGTTAAAGAGAGAACAGCTTAGTTTGATCAGGACAAGGTGGAAAATGTGTCTCTTTTGAGAAAAACGAAGGCAAGCAGATGCCTTCTTTCATTGTTGCTGCTGTTGTTACAGGAGGTGATGTCACTAATGCTGATGGAAAAGTCTTCAGGGTCCAGATGGATCCTGAAGTGTTTGAAGCTGTGAAAAATTAAATATTCATAATACCAATGAAGATGTTTGTCTGTGAGTCTCAGTTTGGACACGTTGGATGATTTAATCAGTTAAAAACATCTGAACTCAGATTTAAAACCAGTTTGAAGTTATTTGGATCAGAAGAAGCTGTCAGTGAGCAGAGTTTACTTTCAGAGACATGAAGGAACATTTTCAGGACAGAAACTCACCTCCAGTCACAATGAGCTTAAAATCATCATATCGAACACCAGGATTGTCCAGACCACATCGGTACTGTCCTGCGTCTGACCGTTTCAGCTTTGAGATGCTCACATACAGAACATATGATCCGGAGTCATATGTTTTATACTCAATGTTGTATCTGCCACTCTGAGCTGTGTCTTCGGATGTTTCAACCAGAATATTTTCTCCTTCACATATTCCCTTACAGAAAAACTTTATTCTTCCAGAGAATAGAAATTTACATCCAACTGTGATGTTTTCTCTTTCCTTTCCTCTAAAGCGTCTCTCAGCGTCTCCATCCTGCAGAGCTGCAGAGAAGATAAACACTCAGTGTTACTGTGAGATTCAGCAGCTTGAAGACAAAATATATTTCATAAATTTTACTGAAGATGTGAAATAAATAATAGCATTTATTCCAAAATTTCTAACTAATTCTAATACATTCCCAAAATGTTTATTTAGTTCATCAACCTCCTGTTTTGTTTTGTTGTTGTTTTTTTTGGTCCATCTGGTTAAATCTCCAACTGAGAAGAAAATCAAAGCTGGTTGAAAAACTAAAAAGTTAACATCATTTAGATAATACAACATTTTATTATTCTGCTTTGTACAACTCCGCTCTGCTCTGTAGATTACAGCTCTGACCCTATGATGAAAATTTGTTGTTGCAGCACTTTGTGGTTATCTTTATTTTCTATGTTTAGCTTCTTTAAATTTAGGAAGCAAAGAGTTGCTTCCTGTGTTTCTTTGACTGATCTAAGTTTTGTAGAAAACTGCAAGTTTTTTAAATGAACAAACTCTGAGCTCAATACAAAACTGAACATTTTGTTGATTTACATCTGCATTTCATCATCTAGTTTTATGCTGAAATAATCTGACTTTGGACATAAAAACAAAACTGCATTTATGGATTATGAGTAAAGGCTAATAGGCAAATGAGAAATTTTACCTTAGAATAAATTAATTATCCTTATAATAAAGCTTTTTTTGTAAACTGATCATCATATTTTATGACAGAAACCAACAGAATACAACAGATAAAACTACACAAACATTCGGCTTAAAACCTTTCAACAAGTTAAAAACTTTCTGATAAACTGTAAGGAAATGAAAGGATGAAGGACCTAGAGCAGAAAAACTGATATAAATAAAATAATGTACTCACTGAGGAAGAAGAGGCAGATCAGAGTGAGACAGACCTTCATCCTGAGCTGCTGATGGTTTCTAACTCTGCTTCTTTTCCTGCTTCACTGATGAACCAGGAACTTCTCTGCAGGATGCAGTTCCTCCTCTGAACACCAGAGGGCAGAATCCTCCAACTTTTACTGCAGAAGTCAAGTTATGCTGGAGCTTCTGAACTGACCTTTAACCCCTCAGATTAAACTACATCTGAAATTTTCAACATCTAAAAAAATTTTATTATTTCAAAATATTAATGAGAAAAACTTGCAAGTTCACACATGTAAAGTTGCGCTGAAATGAATCATACAAAAAAGGAAATTTAAACAGAAATTGTAAAAATACAAATCAAAATTTGTCAAAAAAGAGCAAAAGACACAACTTGTTTAAATACAGTCCAAAATATTATCCTAATATCTTACTGCTAATACAAAATATGTTCCTATTTATATAAGTTTATTATTAAAAACAATTTACAACACAGTAATTAAATCATCTTTCAAACAGCTTTTGCAACATTCAATAGAACATTTTTTTGGCAAAACTCTTATGACTTAAAGGAAACATTCCTGCATGTTTGGTTATTTTCTTGTGAAAACATGAAATTAAATGTTCTTTGGGCTCTGATTGTTTCAGAGAGTTTAGTTCAGGGATAAACTGAAGATATTTCCTCAGCAGATGATTTGTTTTGTCTGTTCTCTTCTCTGATTTCCTCACTCTGATGTAATCTGGAGGAAGAAGAAGATGAGAAGCAAGAAGGGGTTTAGAAACTCTAATGAAACTTAAGCATTTTATAAATATTCAGACTCACCTGAGAGTCGGCAGCATTCTCTATTTCTACAGCCGAATCTGAAAAACATTCAGATCAGAGAGATGAAACTTCTGATATAAAAAAATATAAGAAGATTTTCCAAGAACTAGAAGCAAATTCCTAGAAAACTTGTTTAACATGAAGATGATCTGAACAGAACCAACCACTAATGATTGATGCTCAGAGCATGTTGGGGAGATTTTGATCTGATGAAATATCCTCCAGAAATGAGACAACAGAAACATCAACACACTGTAACAATTTCCCATTTCTGTTGTATTCAATCTGTGGCAAAATCTTTCATTATTTTCAGCCAGAAGATCTTTTTTAACTCTTAGCTTTGGTATAAATATATATTTTTTAGATATACGTAAAATGAGGACCACACAACTATTTCAGTGTTTTCTCACCTTTGCTTTTCATGGCTCTCCTCTTCCAGCAGAAAATCCCCAAAGGTGTTGATAACAAGATGATCTTGGCGATCAGAGACAGAATCACATAAAGCTGCAAACCTGCAGACGAGTTAAAGAGAGAACAGCTTGGTTTGATCAGGATAAAGTGGAAATGTTTGTATCCCTGCACATCCTTCTGACTGAGATAAAAGAAGCTGAATCCTCTGTTTTTCAGTGTAATCTGTGTTTCTACAATGTGTTAAATGTTTAGTTTTCTGCACATAGAGCTCAACATAAAACCTGTAATAGTGACCAGGCATCTCTACTTGTGAGAGAAGGAGGAAATAAAACAAGTGTCATTCTTCATTTTAAAAATACTCGTATCGATGTTCACACATTACTCGCCTCTTTTACCCATAAATACTTTGTAACATTAACTGGTTAAAACCAGATCAGTCACACTGATACTGTCACATAAAACATCCAACATGCTGAAGTTTTCACTGATTAGCTCATTTTTAAAGTTATATTGAAAAATTAGGTCACAATAAAGCTGCTACATGTTGAAATTTACAGGAATATTTAACTTTAAAAACAGTTATTTTAAATTAGTAGAAGATAAAGTGATAATCCAGTTATTGTTATAAGGTTTGTGTCTGTAATGTTGGCACATTTTTCCTTTAGCAGGTAAGAGCTTCACTGATTAAAAAGGCTGAAACAATTAATCAAATTAATTGGGATTAATCAATTACTTGAATTATCGTCAACTAATTTAGCAATTAATTAGTCGTCAGCTAGAGTATACATCTTCTAATAATGGCCCTTAGTTGATAGGACAACAGTCAGAGCAGTAATTTAACCTAAACTGTACCAAAAATTTTAACATTTTGCATTTAAGATTAAAAACCTACTTTGTCTGTTAACATGTTTTACCCAGAAATCCTCAAATGTTTTAGCTTCACCTGGTTCAAATTCTGTCAATAAAAATCTCATATTTATCACCTTTTGCCAGTTATTAACCCAAAAACATCAACAGACGAGTAAACAGCATTTTTTATCTGCAGTTTCTTCCTTTGCTACAAATGATTAAGCGTAATCTAAAGGGATGCTGTTATTGAATTTTAGGCAATAAAATGTTTTCTTATTTAAAGTTTTTGCATATTTCATTGTATTTCAAATATTCTGTAAAAAGGCCTTAAATGATAAACTTGCAGAATGTGCCAATTTTTTTATCTGATTAATTAATTAATTGTTAGAATAATAGAAAGACTAATTTTTGTTGCAGCCCTACAGATAAACAAAGATGGACTTCAGTCCAAATGTTACCTGAACAGATGATTTACCTGAAGCTGCAGCTGATTCTTCAGATAGTTTTCTGGTTACAGATGGAGACAGTGAAGAACTTGTTGTTTTGGGGCCTGTTGGGAGAAAAGTTCAAACAATTAAACAATTATAACAATTGATTTAACTGAATATTTCTTCCTGATGTTTATGTGTGTCTGCATGATGCACAGTTTGAACATGTTGATCTTTTACAGTTGATTTGGTGGGAATCTGAGCTAACTGCTCAAACTCAGTTTGCAGTTTGATGTTTTTTGATTGAGAGTAATTTCCCTTTAGAGGAATGAAGGAACATTTTCAGGACTTTTAGCAGAAAACTCACCTTCTGTCACAACAAGATGAAAGTCGTCACTTTGACTGAGAATACGTTGACCCGAACGGCACAGGTAGCGTCCTGAGTCCGATGGTTTCAGCTCATTGATTCCCACATAAACTAGTTCAGATGACAGAACGCCTCTCTTTTCATACTGAATCCAATACCTGCCTCTCCGATCTCTGCTTTGAGTTGTTTCAATGAGAATGTTTCCTCCTTCACAAACTTCCTTACAGAGAAACTTCTTGTTTCCAGAAAGGCCAAATTCACATGGAACTGTGATGCTTCCTCCTTCCTTTCCAGTGAAGGATCTCATAGTTTCTCCGTCCTGCAGAGCTGCTGAGGAGAAACACAATCGATTCTCGATAAATTCTTGATTACTATCATTATATGCAACAATGTTAAAGAGAAATTATGCTTAGAACTTCATCTGCATTTATTGGAACAAAAACAAACACTAGATTTGTTTTCTGCTACATTTGGTACTTTCTGAGGTTGATTCAGTTTTAATTGTTATTTATGTCAGCATTGCTGTACTTTTATAACACTTTATGAGCCCAGAAACCCCAAAGCGCTTCATGTTACATAAACTGGTGGCATGTCAGCCTCACGTCTGTCAGTCT